CGAGCTTTTGCCTTCAACTGTTTATTGCACAAGGGAGGGGGATCAAGGTCATCGTTCAAGAAAAATTGTGCGAGTAATATATATCGCCACAAGGCCTCCTGTGTTTGTTTTCCTAATTTGATAAACGCCCACAGGGAGATCCCCATGACAACGTTTATAAGAAGAGAAGATGTCGATATACAAGTTTGGAAGGAGCTACATTGCACCTGAAAGACGAAATACATTTTTGCTATTACGTGTCACAGAATTTCATTTGTGTTTTAATAACTAACGTTAATTATATGACCATAAATAATTGGTGGCCCCGACGTGCCGCGTAAGTAATTCTAATGGAACATCCAATTGAAGACTACCATGCTGCACCCACTAACCCGGCAAGTAATGCTGATCCATCCGTAGATTCTCTTATCGCACGCGTCACTCAAACCGCCGCAATTTTGGCCGAACAACGTAGAACTCTGTTCCTCGCAAACTGAAGCGCAATTCTGAACCGGCACTACTGACCCTCGAATTCATGTTATTGCCGCACTCGACCAGCGATTCGCGTCCGATGTTCATGACATTATCAACCAGCTGTCACATACGAAACTCTAAAATCTGAATTAAATCGCCGGTTATCAATTTCAGAAGAAAAGCGCACAAGGCAAGTTTTGCTTTTGAAAGAAGTCGTTATAGAACTCCATTTCGATTCTGGCGCCATCTTAAGAACCTCACGTTTACCAAATGTAACTTCTCCCCATAGCACGACACACACAGTTTTTTAACTGTTTTTGACCTCTGTTGCTATCGTTTAGCAATAATCGACGATAAAACTATGGAAGTTTAATTACATTTTTCTCACAGTTGCTATCATTTAACCAGCGCGACTGGAAACGACGATTTCCGGGTTATCCGACTACATCCAAGGATCGACACATGTGAGTCATGTGAGTCAACCATATTATGACGAAATCAATACATACTCCTCGTCACGACGTCAACATCGCGTCAACTAACGCCTGTTTCTAACCACCAAGTTGTACTGGTATCATCGAAAATACGCAGATAAAGCACCCAAGTGTATCGACCCGTGTAATTTTCTGAAAGGAAACTTAAAGGACGTCATGTAATGATGGTAGATGTTCGTTCAACTTTACACCGCTTGTTTGTTTATTATCGGAATTTTAACTTAACATTTCTCGCCGATACAGTTTCTGACGTTTACACGATTCCACATGCAGTAAAGTTTCAGATTCTGCGTTTTTCTTGAGGGAGAAAAAGAAAAAAGACAGAATCTGAAACTTTTAGCAGTAAATGGTTAACTTATTAATACATTTGATCCCAATATTAAGTTTTGAACTTAAACCTGCGTACAGGCTATCCTTGGCGCTTTCTGGTCTCCGACGTAACCACTCCAATCTTTAGGTTTTGACTTTCTGTCGCTTTACGGATTGTTACTAGATTGTTGTACATGTTCGCTGATAGAATTAATAAATTGACGAACTTATCTGCTCGATGTCACCGCCTACCATCTCACCAAACTAGTAAAAAGGTTTTGTGGGAAACAACTTCAGTTCATTCGCTATTATCAGACTATCCTGAACTTTTTACATCTACAAAGACGCCTAGACCTATAAAACATTCCACTCTAAATCATATCGTGATGACACCAGGATCTCAAAGTAGTAATCTTTTGTCGTCCTCGATGCCTTGAACATGACAAGCTTTGTATCGCCAAGGATGTTTTAAACAAATGATAGTCGCTGGAATTATACGCCGTTCAGACGGTCCCCGATCTCCTTTACTCCTGGTACCAGAGAAAGACGATAGGTGGATTACAGAAGATTAGGATTGTCAGGGCTTGCAAGATGCATGGCCGAAGAAACATCTACAGATTGGATTTCTCCGCAGAGTTACATGATCCAACTGTTTTGTTGTTGTTGTTGTTGTTTTTCCCTCCAAGTAGACATACAAATTCCTGTAAATGCCATTTCACGAATTACAGACCTCTGCACTGCACTGGAGTAGAAAAATCCCCTTTCTATTTTTATAAATGTCAGTCGGATTTTTCAATATTAACTTTGGAAGATGTTTGTATTAGTTATTATTAACATGCCGGTAAAATTACAATAAACTTAAAAAGATGTTTTGAAAAATTCCCGAATGTTTAGATATCTTATAGTTTCAAAAATATTCATTTTTAAAATAGCGGTTTAATAACAATCATATTTTAACTAACTTTGATAAAATTTAAGATATTATTTTTCAGTGTGTTAATCACCAATACCGCTACCTCAAAATAATGTGTTGTTTCACAGGTATTGGTTAAACTTTCAAAGCTCTTTTTTTAAAAATGATTCCAATTTTTTGTTTAATTTTTTAGTAAGATTAGTATAAAATATTCTTATAAGATTTTCATTGTTAACTCTGGAGTTTCAAAAATTGGAAAGGATTTACATTATTGAAGATAGAGATGTTTTCAAATGCAATTTGATCTCCACAATTATTTCTTTAGTTAAGATTATTTGCTTTGTTTTGAAAATATTACCACTTTCCGCGTAAGTTTGAGTGAAATATGGGTAATGTTAAAGATTTTATCAAAAAAATTCTTTAAACTTTTTTGTACAGGTAATGCTAAATGCACTGCAATAAAATGACAAAAACACTACTTTGATGTTGTTTTTTTTAAATACACAAATGTATTTTTACTTTCTCGCTACCGCTTACGCAGTAGGGAGAGAGTTATGGAATGCTGCGGGAAAAACGGCGAATTTGTCTCGCAAATGCCCCCTCCCTAATCCTTTGGGACTAGCTGTATTTCTTCACCCAGAGCGTCGGCATCGGCCGACTCTATGACCCCCCCCCCCCCCCGGCCACCTTTCGTCAATGACAACCTAATGGAACGATCAGATTATGAAGGTCATCAAATTGGGATCTGGACCGACCAATAGGCATCCACAACCCCATAGAATATTCTAGAAGAAGCTAAGGAACCAATAGCGGCACAGGGCGACACACACGTGACCAAAGAGCACACACACAAGGGATGGTAGAGAAGGGCAGATGGAAGGAAGGTAGGAAGAAAGAAGGGCAGATGCTGTAGGACATTCATGGGAAGAGGCGGTATGAATTCCATTGAGAGCGGCTGTTTTTATTTTCATCGAGCAAAGACGCATTTCTTTAAAAAACTTCGAGATCTGTGACTATTTTTAAACCGCAACAAAGACTACAAAGTTTACGCTCTACCGGATGCCACCCTCTCTGGAATCGGTGCATTATTTAGAACTATTATCAAGCGAAATAACCACGTCAACGGAATTTATTCCGTTCTATGGAAGAAAGCCAGAACGTCCGAAAGGCTCTTGTCACGGCCGCGACATAAGTGCGCCAATACCGATTTCCAAATGAATATGACCCACAACTTATGTTTATTAAGCTTAGCTAACGCCTTATTCACATAAAAATACAAAACAATCATATTTTAATGTTAGATTTACACGTAACACTAGATTCGCATACAAAACAATTAATTGCAGAAGTTAGCATTCAACACTATTATTTGCTTGAACTGCAGAGCAATTGCAGAAGAAGTGAACACAAATGAGACTGAGTTTGTGAAGTTTCAGTCCCTTCAAAAATTAGTGGAGAAAAATGTGGAAGTGATAAGGAAATGAAATATATTTGTAAAAGATGTTACGATCGAATTTTTGGAACTAATTGGGAATTATCTATATTTTGCATTTAACATTTGTGCTAATGCAAATGTGCTACGTGCATTTTTGTGCATATTAGCAAAATAGCGTAAAAAATGTAGCTGAACTAAACTTTAACTATTAGCATAATCAAAACCTACAAATGATTGTTACGGCAATTATAATTTTGAAATATCAAGACCAGTCCATATCCCTTATGGAGGTTCACTGGAGGTTAACAAGCAAGGCCATAGGGGGTTGAGAACTTTTTAACGGGTGTGTAGCATTACCAGCTACTACGATTCATTGGTAAGTCCAATGCCAGATACTGAAAGAACGATCTGAACAAATCTAGGCACGAAAGAAATGAAGTAAAAAAAGTATTTTCAACTCATGAAACTATTTTTAAAATGTCGGCGACGCTACATTTTATTAGTTGGTATGTAATTCATGAGATCCTCTTATCAAAAATGTACCAAAAAATCATAGAATTCTACTTGAAATTAAATAATGACGCAGCTTTCCTGCTCAGACTGTTTGAAAGCTGTACAGCAGTCTAACAAACACACACACACACACACACACAGATATATATGTATATATTTGAAGGTTCCCTGAAACAATGAACTATAAAACGCGCCCCTTTCCCTGCATTTCGAATTTCCCGCCAAAAGACTCCTGTTGATTCGTGGTGCTCTTGTCATAAAATTCACGCGCGGTTCATATGGACAGCCCTGGAGCCTCCATGTGTATTGGTTTGCATGATGGACGGGCAACAAGGAAAAAACGTGGAGTCGAATCTGCAAGGTCACGTCATGTTCTCTTGAATCCATGAATAGTTGACCCCAGTGCTTTGGAAGCTTTGCAGTGCGCAGGCAGTGCGTTTCGTTGGTGCATCGCTTCATGATAAGTACGTGGCCGGCACTGGTGTCAGCTGATCTCCAGATCCAGGCGATTAAATCAAAATGAGTGTCCAGAAGTTTGAAATTAAATTTGACAATCCTGCTTGTATTTATTATGCCGGACAACTAGTATCGGGACGTGTTACACTCATCACAACAAAAGAGAAGAAAATAAGAGGTAAGTTTTCTTTGCAGCGAGTAAAAGCACTTTGTGCTGGAGCTGTCATATCACTGATATGTATTATGGTGACAGAATTATTGCGTATTTATAAACTTAGGACTCTTGGAGGTATTTTTTTCAAAAAGCACGGGCCGTCAGCGAGATGAATTGTGATTGGATCACAGATTCCTGATTTCCTTCCTAGTTATTTAAATGGAAGCGGCACATTTAATATCAGAATTTATTGATAGTAACTTGAAAATGCACGACAAGGTAAGGGAAACCACGATCTGAACAACTCTTGACGTGAAAATGACATTTTTGTCTGAAAGTAAATTTGGGGTTAAGGCATCTTACAATATAATCTGTTCAAATAAAAATAAGTGGTGTATACAAAATAATAGTGAATAACAACAATCTTGCATTTTGGCGAAAAATCCATTATTTAGTTAACGGTATTGCCGGTGTTTCGGCCCATGGATTGGATTTCTTGCAATTTGTTCCATTACCTATTTATTTCCTGGAGAGTTTTATGAATGGTGTTAAGTATCATGCATATGGTGGGACATGCATTTTTATTAAAGATACTATTAGTTTTGTACCTAACACCAGTCACTCTCCTCTTGTAAAAGAGAAAGACTTTGAAATATCCATCACTGACTTAACTACATGGGTAATAAAAACATGGGTCTTCTGCACACATCACAACCCTACTGGGAATTTGAAAATATTTTTAAAAAATCTGAAAGTTATTCTAACAAAACTTCAAAAACACAGACAGTATAAAATTATTTGTTGCAGTGACTTCAATATAAATTGCCTAATACAATCCAGTAATGAAAATCTATTTAAACCTATTAAACCTATTAAAATCATGCAATTTACAAACAACCATATATACACCAAACCGAATATCCAAAAATGCACTGCTATAGAATATCCGAATATCCAAAAGTAACTCTGCTATAGATTAGATAATAGTAGAGGCAAATAACCATAATATTTCTGTTGCTACATTTAATACAGGTTTCAGTGACCACACTGCACAGATTCTAAATATAAATAGTACATTGTTAAACAGATGGAAATACAATGTATTAGGATTTATCAAACATACATTCCAGAAAATAAATAGCCTAATATGTATTTGTTAATTAAATCTAACAAGAATCTGTACAAGTCTTAAAGAAGATATCCGGACCAAAACACCAGATATTATATAAATAGATACTGGAATTTTTGCTATGACACAAGATTGTTGTAATTTATAAAAATGTCAGAGATCAAAGAAAACAAAATTAAAAAATTATGAGTTTGCATTAACTTAGTGCCATTTGTAACTCATTTCAAGACTTTAAAGCTCTTAATAAATAAATACCAAAAACAAAATAAAAGTATATAGGTACTGAATATTTTTTAGAATCTATAGTATTGAATTTCGCTACCGGAAAAAAGTATGTAATATAATTGTTGCCTATCTTGTATTTTTCTGACCAGGAATATGCTTACGTGTCAAAGGAGAAGCAGAAGTGAAATGGACAGAAAGTAGGAGAGTGACTCGAAATGGGAAATCGCATACAGAGCATGATCATTACAGTGCACATGAATTATATGCACAAATGGAAGTTTGGCTGGTTGGAGCATCACGTAAGCCCACACAGTTTTCTTCAGGATGTCAGCAATACTGAAAAATTCTAGCAAGGACAGTGTGCTTTCAATATCTTGAATAACAAGGCAGTATGTTTATAAATCTAAGAGAAATAACATGTTTAGGAGAGTTGATTAGATTCTGATTGCTTTGAAACTGGAGTGCAGAATTAGTTACAAAGCTTATTTACTCAGTTTCTATAGGTATGCTATGTGTAAAACAAGAGGAGGGGCCAATACATTTCTGGGCTCCCTTTTCCAGTAAACTTTTTATTTAGGTATGACATTGTACTAGTAAATAAATAAAACATACTAAAAGGAGAATGGAATCATAACTAGAATGATACAATAAACAAAATAAATTGATTTTATGTTGAACAATAATTATGGGGTTGCCAGATATATTGGAAAGCTTCTTCTCCAAATGTGTAACAATTCCCCAAAAGGTTCAAAAAGGAGGGAAATTAAGGATTAGACATGTTTGTGGAAATGTTTAAATATTTAAGGCTACAAGGCCTATTACAAAATTTTTAGAGCGGGGGGGGGGGTCAAAGCTCTCCCTATTGCAAACCTCTTTATCTGTTCCTCTTCATAATTTAATTGGTAGATACTTTACTGAGAAAAGAGATATGAGCTATGAGTCTGATCCAGGGATAGAGTTACCCAAATCATTACCCCTCCCACCCAAAAGAAATATGGTTGTTAGAAATCAATATTATTTTGCAAGAAGAAAACAAATGAAATCATAATTTGGTAATTTTCAAGTACCCTAAAGGTAAACATTATTAAAGCCATGAATCAAATAAACCTATGTAACAACTTCATGATAGTCTATTCTTAACAAAAATACCTTTGTATGTGGAAAATTACACAATATTGTGAATCACAAGACCATGACCTTGCCAAAATAAATATCTAGATTGATTGAGATAATTTCCTCTTCCTCTTGGATGAGTTATCAAACAATTATTTTCCTTATAAACCCATCTTCTCAGTGCTCTATTCTACTGATCAAAATCTTTAATGCCTCATTTTCAGTTTGCTTCGAAATCTTACACTCAGTTATTTGGATCATTTTGTATCAATAAGTGACCCAGTTAACTTTATTGATTGTATGCATATGTTCACTGTATTTCTGGAGCATTTGGACAATTAAGGTCATGGCAATGAAAGCTGACAGTTTAAGGGAAAAATTGCTTTCAACTGATTGGTATAGTCAAATTATTTAATAACATTTCTTTTAAGATACAGGTGATTTCTTGTCGAGTTCAATTTTTCAGGGTATATTTTTTAAAGGAAAGAGAAACTAATACTGCGCTAAGACACTTAAACCTGACAGTTCGATTTTTACTAGTTCCTAAAGCTGACATGTGAGGAACCTAAAGATGTTATGAACAAAAATGGGAAATTAAATTTAGTAAATGATAATTTTTATAATTGTGAAGAAATGTAGTGTTAAACAGAAAGCATTTAGAACACAAATCAATTCAGACATACTACAAAGTTGTTTTGATACTGAAACTTCATTACTTTTTTAAAAAAATAGACGATTAATTGGATGGAGCAGAAGAATTATGCACACTCACAGTGTTAATATGTTTTGTCTTACTGTTAACTAGAAGGAGCAGCAGAATTACTCACGTTCACAGTGTTAATATAATATTGTAAATAATGTAAATAGTTTAGAATAGTTATAATTGAATTCCAACACTTCTTTACACCAGGTGTTTGAAGATCATGCAGGTGTAGCCGAAATGTTACACAAAACTACGATCAATTTAATGGCACGATGCATTTGTATAATTAAATCTGAATGTCTGAAATTTGAAGAGGGACTATTTGTTTTCATTAATTTAATTACTTCCCTTTTACACGTGCATCAGAATTTTTGCACTCTCTTGTCGTTTTGTATCTGTTTTCAATCTTCTGCTCTGTCTCCAGGTATCTATAAGTACATGAAAATACATATTCATTAATAGGTGAATTAGATGGGTAGAATCGGGATATAATCCAGAAGCTCAATCCTCTTTTCTGGGCAAAACTAGAAGAGTGATAAAGAGTAAAGAGTTATGAGAAGTATGCCCAACAAAAAATACAACTACTAGCATCACAATTTCATTTTGAAGTAACGAAGGGTAAACTATATTTTCTACAAACTCCTAAAATAATTCATGATTCATCCATCTGCATACAGAAACCCCAATAGCACCCCATTAACTCCACTGGTCATTTTAGTTGGTGTGTGAGTGTATCGATAAATTATTATTGTTGATATAACTCTAAAGTAATTTCCAGTAATGAGGAAGTCAAATTTCTTCCTAATAATTTCCTGCTCCCTGATAAATGACTTTGGAACCTCTTTGTGCTAGTACTTTCCCTCCTTTAGGATTTAAGGTGAAAGATTTCATCAGTGTTAGGATTTTGGATCTTGGATGGTTGACAGAAGAACCTTTTCTGCTAAATAATTTTTCTTCCTTCAAAACTCTATTTGATTTTTTCCTTTTGTTACTTGTCTTGCAATTATGAAATTTTGACATATCCTAATGCTTGAAATATCTTCTTGCCTTCAAAACCCATGATACATTTTTTGCTGGGAAATAACACAGTCGCCTACCTTCTTTTTTTTTTACTGCCAATTTTATCACTCAATACACAAAAGTTGCTTTGGAAACAGGAAAGCCTTCCTTCTACAGTAGCAGTACCCTGTTGAGTAGTATTTCTTCATCTTCAGGAAAAAAGACAGAAAGTGCCCCAGTGTTTTAGTCCACTGGGATTTGCCCCAAATGTCACTAGTGTCACCGTCAATTCACCAAACTCTTTTGCCTTCCAAACCTACTGCATTGCAACTGCTCCTTCTATTCACAGCATCTATTGCTTTTATCAGCAAATCCATTGTGTAATGTAGATTGTTTTGGGGGCCATATTACATAAATTTGCAGAAAGAGCTCACTCATTCAAATGTTTTCTTACAATGACCTACTGGAAACCTACAATTGATTCACCGTTGATGTTAGGTTCTAAATCTATGGACTATTAAACTTAATACCCTTATATATTTCATTTTGTGCTTGTTTATACAATATAAATAGTACAAATTAGAATCAGAACGTAAGTTGACATCAGTGTCTTTCTCAAACGTTCAAGGAAGTAAATATAACAACTTCCAAAATATTCATATACTCCTCTAAAGTAAGATTAGAAACACAGGACACTTGCAATTCTTTCCTTGTTAACATCCTGATACCCTCCCTACCATAAAGAAGACTTGTATTCTATTATAGGCTAAAGAACAAAAACAAATTTCTTAAGCGATTTATAGGGATTTCCGTGGATGGTTAAGAACACGTGCCAAATCACTAGTACATCAGACACAAGTTAAATTGCATAATTAATTAGACTTATCACCTCAAGCTAAGATTGAAACCATCATCATCACCTCTCGGTGAGCCATTCTATCTCTTAGAATACTTATGTCATAAACAATCCTGGTATGTCAGCTTTACGTGACCTGTCAGCAGTGAGTCATTTCATTCGTTAATTTCAATTTTTCTCAAGCGGTTTTAAATAACTCGCATGCAATATGAAAAAGTATGTGGTGTCAGAGTACTGATACTTTTGCAGGATTTTGTCAATTGAATTTATTAAAAAAATGTGAAAATATAACAGCATTATAAATTTATCACAGAAACAAAGTTAATTTTTGGAAACAATTTATTTGTGATGTTGGGTATTTGACATTGTGTGAAAAAATAGTGGTCGACTTTATGGTTCATCACTACTTCCCTATGATTGTCTTGCTGCTATTGGCTGAACGTGTGATGATGCAATTATTCACACCATAAACAGCAAATATGTTATAATCTGTGCCATAAGGTTTTGTTTTATGAATGATTTCTTGTAACAAGGAGGTCTTTTATAATGCTGGAACTCAATAAAATATTTTAACAAACATTTTAATACTGTAATAACAGTATAGTTGTAAATTATTGGTCAGTGGTTTCTTTACCTTATATGTTTAGCCCAGATAACATGTAAGACAGTTAATTAACATATTGAATACATTAAATAATTGAAAGAATAAAATAATTTAACACAGGTACTTTCACATGAATTTTTTTTGTTGACATCCTATTCACAATATATAGTTTTACTATTGCAGTATGATATATACAGGTGTGATTACATTGTAGGCATTTTCCGAACTTTGCAGATGGGGATATGATGTTACCTCCTGGGGAACACATTTATCCATTTTCTTACACTCTCCCTCAAAACATTCCTTCATCATTTGAAGGTTCTCGTGGCCATGTGAGGTATACTGTGAAAGTGAAAGTTGATCGGCCATGGAGGTTCGATTATGACTGTAAAGTTGCATTCACTGTTTTAACTCCTTTAGACTTGAACTTCGAGCCAAACATGCAGGTTGGTCTGTTGTATCATCTATTTTCATTTAAACATTGCATAATTTGTAGAGTTAACAAGCATGTTTATAATGTACTTTATTTACTTTTTACAGGAACCAGTGCAGAATACTAAAGAAAAGTACTTATGTTGTTGTTGTTGCCGCTCTGGGCCTGTTACACTAGTGGCTAATGTACTCAGAGGATTTGTACCTGGCCAAAAAATAGAAGCTGTAGTAGAGTGTGACAATGTAACCACTGAAGAAGTGTCTGTAAATTGTTATTTAGAGAAGGTATGTAATAATTATAATTTACATTTGTACTGACAATTTGAGAAATGTCTAAAGTTTATCATTAACTTGTTTAACCCACAATCCACGTGTATATGTAGTAGTAGAGAATTTTAATTTATATCAACAATGATTAAAATTCAAAACTTAATGATGTAAAACCACGACAAAAACAAGGATGAAATGTATCAAAATATTTGGTACACATTAGTTTGTTCGTTTTTACTTTTCCCCCTTACTTCATAAGAAGATAATGTATTGCAAACATATGCTGGAAAAGGCTAATTTTCAACAGAAAACGTAATGCCGGGCCATGGAAAGAAAAAGTGGATAAAACTCGTTCATGTACTGTATTTAGTAAATTTCTTCCTGTGACACATTTTCAACGAAACTAACATGCATATTAGAATTTTTTTTATGAATGGTTCAGGTCTCCTTTCACAGTGGTCTTTAATACCTTAAAAAGATATTCTAATTCAACATGAAAGGAAATCTGTACTTTTCTATAATTAGGCAGGAACATAACCTAAATGTATACCTTTTTTTTCTTTGAATCAGAAATGTTCTTTGAAAGCACCGGTAGTAACTATGATGAAAATGCATACTTTTGTTTCTATTTCATTTTTAAGTTGAAAGATACAATATCATATGTATTGTTTTGTGAATTACGTGTTAATATTTTGTATAAATGGTGTTATCTCTGTAATAGTGAAATAATCTGAGATAATATAAGTAAACCCAGAGCCTGGAGATTATACTTAAACCCAGTAAAGGTCAAACACAAAGAGGTTGCAATTCTAACTAAATTCAAGGGGCAACGACATCAGTCAGATTGATCGGAGAATATCAGTTTCTGTGAAAATCCTGCTAGCGGTGGAGCTGCTTGCATTGTTCACTGACAGAAGGACATACATTTTGCCGTCAATCAATTTTCCGGTGTCAAGAACTCACCAAACATGGATTCTGACTACACATCATGTTAGAAGAAGTAATTTAGTATGTATAGAAACAAAATTTATCCATATTTTGGATACTAGAGCCAGGCAATAAAAGTTTTCCTGACAAAAATTGTAATTTTTTCCACATCAATACAATACTTTCTGTATATAATCTAAGCAGTAGATGAGAAAGTAAAAATCAGATCTTTGCAAAAAGGTTGTGTACAATTTTTGAAAGGAAAAAAAATGTAGTTATTTTCCTATAATTTTTGCTTGAAGTAAAATGAAATAATAAAATAAATTTTAAAAAAAAGAAACGTTTTCTCAAAAACTGCTGCAATTTGTTTTGTTTAATTCTTTAGAACTATGCTTAAATCGATGGTGTAGGTCTCTTTGTCATTGCTCTCTTTGAATTTTCGAAAATTGCAAAATTAGAAATAATGCATGAAAGTGTGTGCTGTTGGAGCACCACTAGTTGAGTTGCAAGAAATAAATGAATCTGAAAGATCTTTGTCATGATGAAAATGAATGGACTGAGTGATATTTGATGATCTCTTACATGAAAAATGATGTTTATATAAATAAAAAGTATTTTTTATATACCATATATAATACAAATATTTTGTAACTGATACCATTATATTGAGGATATTAATTTCTTAGCTTAACTTTCAGGTTTTACTGTGTGTGTAAGACAAATAGTTGGATAAGTCCATCAAAGAAACAGAAAATATTTGATATTTTTGATATAAAAAAAATAATGAAACATGAATATTTTTATAATTTAATATTAGAATGAATTAATGAACTGAGTGATATTTGACCACATCATGCTATTTATGCCATCTTATAAAATGATAAAATGATTCATGACCTGAAGTATTTTTTAATTGATAATACCAGATTAAGGACATTAATTAGTGTTTTTTAGTGGATGATCTGAAACTAGATAATTTTGTAAGAGGAAAGGAATATCTGAAGATACACAAATTATTAAAACTTTTAAATATTCCAACATGTTTTCTTTCATGTCTTTGGTATTTTTCCATTCTGTGGGATATATTTTGAAAGGAAACTGAGTTATAATTGTATAATGTATTAATTTCTGGCATTGGTAAGGTATTTGAATAAATTTAATGCCTTTTGTTTTTGAAACTTAAAATGTGTGGAAAATGAAAGCGAAATAAATGTGAAGTTTGAAATTGCAAACGTTGAAAAAGAAAAGGAAATTATTATATTGTAAACTTTTCAATTCCAAAAGTTGTTGAAAAGGAGCATCAAATTCCAAATAAAAATGTACTTTGAATTTTAATTAAATACTTTCACCTGTCTTTCCTTTTTTCTCAGACTGTAACATTTAAAGCTTCTTGTAGAATGCGCACCAAAACAAAATATGACGAGAGTACAGTTGCCATGGAAAGATTAGGTACAGTAAAAGGAAATGACTCTAATACTTGGACAACAAAGCTCTTAGTTCCTGCTCTACCTGCATCCTACTTGAAGTATTGCAATTGTATTGACATCTCTTACATGTTTGTGGTATGTACATACATTTTCATATATTTTGTATTGACTTTTATTAAATACTTAAATTAGTGTTTTTCAAGGCTTCTTTACCTTGCTGAAGAGAACCGAGTAGTTTGAAAACGATTAGCAAAACTGGCATTTTCATTTATCCCATTTTGCAGTGACTGCCGATTTGGGTTCAAAATTCATCCCAAGACCTTCCAACATTCAACTTCCAAGTCCTACCAACATTCAAAATTTCTGAGTTGTCTTTGAGACCCATTGGTCAAGGTGTTTGAATATGATACCCTTTGGCAAGCACTAGTAGACATATTCTTTGGCTTACGCCTGTCATCTTTTGCTATAATGTTTCGACTTCAATTCATCTCATCAGCTTGGGTGGTGTTGAGATTAGAAACATGGCTGACTGCATATCCAAGGATAGTAGTGGGGAGATTCTGGAAACCTTAGGATCCAACTTTGTACTCCATGAAGCATACGCCTTTGCCTTTTGGCTCCACAAGGATCCTATCTGTATTTCTTTTTGTTCATTTCAATTACTAATGATGTCTGTTTGTTAGGTAATGTAGAATTTCTACTTTTTTGCAGACAATCTAAAGAAAGTCAATTAATTTTAAACAAGATTATTCGAATTGGCAAAATTCTGTTTATGCTTTAAATGTTTGGTGCAACGAAAATATTGTTTTCCTGGACAGGGATAAAGTGTTGCAATCACCCTTAGTCATTCTAAAACAAATAATGGAAGCATCTATACAATGAATGTCACAAATGTAACTGTTTTAACTCTATTAAAGAGATTATTTCAAATGGAGGTTATGCTTGTAAATTGCTGCAAATTTTGTAGGGAGTCCCTTCAAAGAAGTTGTGGAGAACATATTTCATATCCTGTGTCAGCTTGATAATACAATTTGAGATTTGTTTTGGATCCCTTTTAAAAAGGGAAGATATTGCGTATACATCTCGGAGAGGTTCGACGAAGAATGACAAAACTCTAGGATACTATAAATCTATAGTGGCAAGATGGTAACATTCAAATTGAATTATGATTCTTTGGAGAAACACAAATATTGATGTAATATGAAAACAAAGTATGCTGCTTAAAACTCAAAATTATTGTAATGCATATTTTATAGATTGTTCTCCTATTGTTTGTAGTACAGCCCATGTTCTCAAGAAAAGTACAGAGTTCATATAGATACCTCCTGGTTTTCAAGGAGACATCCTGTTCAGCATTATATTTTTCTCCTCTCTATTACAGTTCTCAGAATTAAGCATTGGCAGCTTTTACTGTTTACATAATAATTGGGAAAACATATTAAGATTATTGTTATTGATTCCATTGAGTTATTGACTGTCATGCATTAATGATTTCACTGTTGGAAATTAAAATCCCTTCAAAATTCAAGTGAGTTTATTTATAAAAAAATTATTTAAAAACTAACAATTTATTTTAAAAACACACAAAAAGATAATGTTAAAATTATCAAGTTGATACAAATCACGATAACATTCATGGATCCTTCTCCCCACTCTCAGATTCCTGAAATAGCAATAAAATGACAACGAATCAAGGCATCCAGTGAAAGAGGGATCTCACCCTCAAAATGCAAAACATCACTTTATCGACATATTCAATGTTTTCATAATTGAATACTTTCATAAATTGATATTTTGAATTTTGTAGATTAGCTCCCTCGCTCCCACAATGCCTTAATTGACAGTAAGCTGGAATATAAATACTTTGGTATCAAATGCATGGGCAAGTTCATAGCTTACCTTGTTTGGCATTTTACATTATAAATATTGTTCACATACAAAATATTTATTGCATGCCGTGTGATCATATGCACTGTGAACATAATAATATCTCCAATGATGAACTCAAAAGTAGAAAAAAGTAATCTGTTCACTAATATATACAATAATTTATTTTACATAATGAAAGACAATATATAAAAAATGTTATTATTATGTTTTTCTCTAACTATTTAACTTTAATTTACTTTACCAATTCCTCTCTCCCCACCACCCACACACACACACATGCACAGAGAAACACTGCACAGAAACACTCGCACTCATTCCCATTTGGTTGGCACCCACTATGCGTATGGTTCACTTCTGACCATGCCACTAACCTGATAACTAGACTTGACATCTGCCTGATCGCATGGCATGTAATACATATTTCCTTACAGAAACAATATTTTTAATGTAAAACATATCAAACAAGGTGAGCTGTGAACATGTACATGCATTTGGTACCCAAGTATTTATATTTCAGTGTCATTTTATTGCTCTTCGAGGAACCTGAAAATGGGGAGAAATGTACCCAAAACATTGTTGCAATTTGTATTAATTTGACAATTTTAACAATGTTGGCTTTTTGTGTGTTTTTAAAATAAATTGTTCCTTTTTAAATCAACCTTTTATAAATACACTTACTTGAACTTTGAAAGGAATTTTATGGTTATTATTCAAATTGTGATCTTGTTAATGCATGACTGTTAATAACTCAATAGAATCAAGAACAATAGTCTAAATTAATGTGACAGTAAAAAACAAACTCAAAGCATATGAAATAAAAATGAATTTTAACCGTTTCAGGTGAAAGGCTCCTTTAGTGGCCCTCACAGTGCTTTGAAGTTGCGTTCGCAGGTGGTGATTGGCACCATACCTCTCCGAAATTATTTCCCTGCGATTGCTCCATCAGCTCCTATTTTGCCTTGCATGCCTCTTTTACCTCAAGGAGGTGACATGCCACCAACGTTCAACGATGCCGTTGCAGCTCCTTCTGCACCGCCTTTGGAACCAGGGACACCTTATCCTGATTTGCGTAAGTAGTTTTCAAGGACTTAATCTATATACATATAAATAAAAGGGAATGTGCACAATAATCGCAAAAACTACTCAATTGATTTCACTGAAATTTTTCACTTTGTTCTTCTTAATAATGGAAGTGTTTAAAGAGTGGTTTGAATAAAATCAGACATGTGGGGGCATTGTTGATGATGATATTCATTTATGGTCACCCAAGCACCCCTGAACTCTATGTAACTCACTGCACAGTCAAGAATTAACCATGTGTTCACTGCATACAAGTATTCTGCCCCTGCGATTGTGAAATAATGGCCAGAATTATTACTTGAATCTCGGACAAGTAAATCATATTTTTCCAAGATAGCGTCATAACAAACACATGCCCAAATTTGAGGGAGCATGTTTTAATAATTGGGTACTTGATAACTATGTCCAAACTAGTAGTCTTATCTCTATTATAATTTTTGCATAGCATAGCGTAAAACATGATTAACAATCATGTGATCAGTAGAGTGTGATGTAATACATTGTAATAGCGAAGCATAACTGGGTCCACTAGTTTGTGATAAGATGCTGCATGTTAGACTCGCTTTACATTTGATCAAAAATATGTGAGTAGTTTGTAAGATTTACCAGTGCTATGGTGGGATGGGAAAGGGGTAAACATTGAAAGATTCTCCTGAATTTTCACACCTTAAATGAATCTATGCAAGAAAGAACCATCAAAAAAATGAACACTGTTTAGTATACAAGCGTTTCCTTGTGATTTTAACTCTTGAAATACACGTAAGATGTGTATGCAAACGTTGTTGTGTTTGTTTTCTTTTTCTTTTTTTTTTCTTTTTTTTTTCTTCTTTTTTTTTCTTTTCTTTTTTTTCCTTTTTTCTATTTTTTTCTTTCTTCTTCTTCTTCTTCTTCTTTTTTTCTTTCCTTTTTTACTCTTCTGAAGTTATCACTCGAATTTAATTACATACATTCCAATATTTCACAATTTACACATCCTGATCTATGATATTACAAGAAACACGTTTGTAGTGCCTAAAATGCCTTTTTTACCATTACAGCCCCAAAAGGTGTATTCTTGCATTATTTACATTATCTTTAGTCTTCAAAAAATTATAATGGGATTTGCAAGCTTGTTTCATTGTCCAGTCATCAAAAGAGAGAGAATTCTGCCCTTGGAACATCATCGCAATCAAGTTCAGCCCTTCTTATCCCTAGCAATTGTCTCAAATTACAATCCGATGTTGGCAGTTAAATTACTTTGTACTGATACTTTTGAATTGAGCATTTATATTAACTTCTTTCTGATGTGCCCCAAAATTCTCTGAACCATTCAACCAATTTACATCTTACAACTAACAATTTACATTTACATCTTATCTTGTTATACATTCACTTTGCATAAAATATCAAATCAACTCTCAGAAGACAGCGTAATTAGTTTGCTGAGAAAATATAATGCTATTTTCGCCTTGTAGGAGCCTATTTTATGCTCCAAATGGAAGATTTGAGAGCCTAAAAATCGGAAGTTTACTTATCAACTATGGCACATGAAGTTCTGTAAAGTGCAGGCTATTTTGCAGCCATTTGCAGCTTCTCTCATCAGGGCAGTGGTCCAGTCATTGCACTGCAGTCAGTGCCCATATTGTCTATTCACTCATGTGTGATTTTTTTACACTCATTGATGTCAAACCCAGAGGGGGAGGGGAGATGTTTGGTGAATAACATGAACAAATGATTTACATTTGCTTTCTCAAACATTTGTCTAAAATAAAAGACCTTTGCATTCTAGCTGAACAAACACATAGATTTCATACAAACATACTCTGATTGGTGGAATGACAAAAATTAAAGGGAGTACATCATCTCCAGCACAAATTAGTCAATATTTGTGAAATGAATGCAAATAATTTCTTTGTGTTACTCACCAACACATGCCCCAATTTGATGTAGCAGCAAAGAGTGTCAAAAGAAACTCAGCTAATATGACTGAAAGGATGATACAAAGCAAAATATAGTGAGACAGGCTTTCCTCCAGCCAATCACAGCATGCCTATGTGGTCACTGAGTGGGGACTCTTTGTGGCCTGATCATCACTACCGACAAGCTTGCATGTATTTTGTAATTTTGGTAATCTTGATCCTTTTTTAAAATACTGGTCATATGTATTTGATATCCCTTATAGGCATAATAAATTGATAACAACAACAATAATGTCAAAGATAATAGTGTTAATAATAGTTAATATATTTTCTAACATTTTTTTATCAGTGTTGAAAAAATCCAATGAAATAAGTGTGTTAAAAAGATTCATTTTCTTGTTGCAGCACCTCCAACTTATGAAGAGTGCATGTTGATCAAGGGAAATATTCGTAATGAAGAAGACAGTGATTATACATATGGTGCTTCAGATTTTGCTCCTCGCTATCCAATGTATAATTTTCGATAAATACCTTTAAAACTTTTTTTTATGCAGTAGAATCTTATTAAGAATATTTTCAAAGATCAAAAGTTTAAGAACTTCTTGACAAAAAAGAAATGTTTTGTTTAAAAGTTTTTCGGTCAGAATCCTATAAGAGAATTCACTGGTAAGTGTGTCGGATTTCCATGATTCAGGATTAGGTGATAACAGTATTATGACCCATAACATTGCTATACTGAAATAGAACTCAAAACCAGCTAATTACAAACAATTAGATTAAACAATGACATAATTAAACAAAAGAGTATCAGGCTGATTGTTTATTTTTTTATGATAAATTTGTGGGTATTGGAAAAGAAATTTATTAAACACAAGTTGTATGAATTAATTATTCACATACTCATTTACTCTTACCATTAAGCATATTAACAATGGTATAAACAATGTTAGCTGCAACAGTATTATAACATTAATTATACCCACGTGCTTTTCTCGCACTAGCCACAACAATGTTTGCAGGCACACAGCAAAGCTTGGTGATCATTTATCAGCACATCTCAACACACTGACGAATTTTAGGAGATATGTTCACACGAAAAATGAACGAGGTTTTGAGTGATAGCTCAGTTTAGTGACACATGTATAAACTTTGCTGGCAGAAACAGAAATTGTGACACTTAAAATGCATCACAGCTTGTAAAATAAAAATGCTATTGCAGAAATATTCGCTACCTTATGATTTAAAAACTTTGACGTCTGTGAATAAGTTGGTTAGTCATTAAATCTTAATTTTACACGACAGCAAAAAACCAACTTTTAAATGATGCTGTAAATCAGGGATTAATTACATTCAAACGATACCTACACGCAAATAGTTTCATGTGAATAGCATTAATCTCTGATTTACTTCAATTGAAAGTTGTGTTTTGCTCTTCTGTAAAATAAGTTTTCATGACTTATCAGGTTATTCACTGGAATCAAAGAAATAATCTGTGAATGAATTTAAAAATCAATAGGAATAGAAATGATGATTGGACAATCTTGCTATTGAGCTTGTGCAAGATCTTGCATGAAGACTTTAAAGGTAAAACATTCTCCAATGTACTAAGAATGTGATTTACATGCTTATACTTTAGTGCATTATTTTATTCATATCCTTGATATGAATTTTGATTTTTATTTGTTCTGAGAGATACATCTTGTGCCTATTTTTTCTTCCACACCAAATTGTACAATGCATTTGTGGCCTTGTAAAAAATTGTCTTTGTAATCATTATCGAGTGTGGTAATAGGAGATTTTTATTGACTTCTGTGTCTAATATGCCCTTATATATCATGAACTTAATAAGACACTTCAAAAACCAGACTTTTTAAGCTGGACTACCTAAGAAGTTATTTTTTTAATCAGGCTTTACTGTAGTTTGTGGTAATAAAATATGAATATGAATGTAAAACATTATTATTTGCTTCTAATCTTTTATCAAGAGGAAATAAGAAAATATTTATAGTTACTTGTAGTAGCAAAGTTAAATCTTTTTAGAATGATACCAGTTACCTTCAAGATCATAGTAATAATAATGTGTTATTTAAAAGAAAGATTTTTTAAGATTATTTTGAATTCTTTCTTCTTAAAAACCTTATATTTAACTTTAATTAGTATGAATCATCATGCTGATTAGCATAAGTTTCAATGTGGTACCGTAGATAGAATCAATTTTTTTAAGATTTTTGAAATGTAAGTGTTCAAATATTCTGCAAAAAGTTACAGGATTTGGATGACCTTAGTAATACATTAATGGATGTATCTGTGTTCCTAATTCAATTCTTGGATGTTACTTGAAACTACAATATAAATATCCATAAAAGCCTATGTGAGGTCCTGGGATTCCAGTCATTAGAGGAGATTTATTCTTTTATTTAGATGTCATTTGCTGTGGAGGTAGTCACCAGAATTCACAAGCTAAGTTCACTAAATAATATCAACATTAAAAACTGTTCTGCATCATTCATGTGGCAGAGCATGTGGCACCACATTTTCAGGAGCTCTGTCATTAATTGATTTAGTTGTCAATTGCAAACATTTAGATGTGGAGATTCAAACAATCTAAACATCAAATGTGGAGATTAAAGTAAGAAAGCTAGTGTTTTGATGTAAATTAAGTGTATATAATTGTTTATGGATATATTACTATTAATTCAATTAATTATCTCAAGTATACTTCAGATAGATCCACCTTCCTATGTTTATTCTTTTGGGAACTTGCTTGAAAAAATCTACACACATTAAGCCAATTTTGAGGCTCTTACACTACATAATCATTTAATACCCCGTGAGATTTTGGGGGTTCTTAGTGGTCATTCAAGAAATAGGTTAAAGGTTCATACTACTGGCAGAGAATGGGGGAGTTTAGACATGGCTTACAAAATTGTATTATATGGGGTAGGAAAGTAGGTTACTGAAAAGCGAATATTCACCACAAAAACAAATGTCTTATTTGATGATATTTTGGTGAAAAAGATTTGACAAGATGAAGCCAAGAATACTTATGATAAGTTAATTTTTTTTCTCTTAACTCTTAGAATAATTATTTTTTATACTAATATTACATTTTTGTAATTCTGTCCATTATAAGAGGGTTCATTCTGTAGATATAGATATAAAGGGTATTTCAATCCTGAAACTGTACAAAGGTGGGGGAGGGTAAAAGCATCTATTTCTGTATACGTATTTGCTAAATAACTCCATTTGCCATGTTCAATCTGTTTAGAAATAGCATTTAAACTGAGTGGTACAAGACCATTAAGTCATTTTGAAGACTTTTTTATTTGCCTACTTGTCTAAGATTGTAGCATGTAGAGCAAACTTGCTGTGATGGATGGGTGTGTTGTAAGGAAAAAAATAATCTTCTTCATTTGATGCAGGATTTACAGGTGTAACTTTATACTACTTGTGGTAAACAAAAAGAAATATTGTTGCAAATAAGTGGAATCATGTTAAATTAATCATGTAGCTGTTAATACCATATTGTGATATGTATACTACTATAAAGTGCCATTTAAACATTGATAATTGTAAGAAGTCATCATTTCCTAACAATTTGATAAGTGTATGTGTACCAAAAGCAAGCAACAGTCATATTCTATCATTGTTTTTATTTAGTCTGTAGTTCAATTTTTTAGAATGCAATTATGATAATTGGAAACTGAAGGGTCCAACAGAAAATTTTAATTCTCCATTCCAACATTCTAGTTAGACAAGCTACATTTTTTTGGCAGGTTTTTAGTAGGTAAATGTAAGTAAATATTGATTGAGAAAGGTTATGAGTAAAAAAGTTAAAATTGAAACATGTTATCTTTAGACTTATCTTTTAATGCTATCTTTCCCTCAATTCTTTTGTATTTTCTATTCTTAGAAATTGTCATTTTTGTCATGATTATTATTATGATTATTACATCATTATTTTACCAGAGTTAATGAAGTAATTTGAGGCAGTGACATTTCAAGTAAACTGGATGATACCGTTTGACATCACTTTCATTGAAAATAATAGCGTAGTCATGCCTTCTGCTCAAAGACTGATATACACCTCTGTTGAAACCTCCATATTTCCCTTTGTGAGAGTCTGGAACAAATTGTTTGTGAAGTAATTTTCCTTTGCTTCCTCCAGGGGAACATGCACAAATTTGTTTAATTTGATCCCTGGATAATACTTGCTCTTGTTTCTGGTAACTTGTTATCCAAATCAAACCTGTGACATAACAAAGGATTTAATTTTGACTGAAAATCTTCAGTAGCTTTTTAGGGACCTTTTTAACTCGTATTATACATTGATATTAATATTTTACTGTTAATATATGTCATGAACAAAAGTAATAATGTTTTACGCTTGTACTAATACAAAATAAAATGCCTAATGCCTGTCAAAGTAACTTAAGCTTATATTATATTCTTAAAATATTTAGATTTATATATCCCACACCAATACAATTATTTTTAGAATGGGAAAAATGATTGAATCTGCAAACATCTGTGCAGACATCTGTGTTTATTTTTGTGTTAAAATATTTCTATACATGTTATTGATATCTATAATTGTTGTGCTCTAGCTATAATTAAGGCAAGTGGTACTTGAAATTTTGATGATATTTTCTAAGTCATTATATAGAACTGTTTTGATATTGCATGCAATTTGTGAGTGAGGATCTCAGAACAATTTTTAAAAAAAGAACTTATGTGTGTTCACTGTAGTAATTATGTACTTCAAAGAAAAAATTCTGTAAAAAATTGACAGTCAAGATAATTATGTCTGTTGAAAGCCTAATTATTAAAAAAATATAGAAACTGAAGATATTAATATCAACTTTTCGTGTATCAAGGTCAAACAATAAATGTGTTTTGGATTAGTGATTTACCTCTAGTGGCAGAGCAAAGTGAAAAGAAAGGTAAATTAGTAAGTCCAAAAACTTACTTTTCAGCTGAGGAGCATAGACTTAACCCTTTTAAAGTTTAATTGTAATGAAAATTTTCAAATGTTGTTGAAATCAGAATCATTTAAATGTAATTTGCATAGTTATTTGATTGTAACCCTAGTCAATTACAAATCGAAGTAGAATCATGTCATTTATTATTTAAAGTTCTGTAAGATCAAAGCTGAGTTGTGTAATGTTAAAGAGAAGAGGTATCAAATATCTCCCTGTTCTTAAAAATGTTTATAACTTATATTTAAAAGGAAACTTGATAAAATATTCTTCTAAATATGATTGAAATAAATTTACATTTAATACAAAATGAAGCGCCAAAATTAAATAGAAGAACAATGGCTTAGTTTTTATTTGTTTCCTTCACATGCTACTTGCTTTGCTTAAATTGGTGCTAGTGTGGTTATTGACCAAGAAAAGAGAAAAGAAAAAATATTGACCTAGGGCTGAAGTACTGCTTTGTAGAAGTTGTGAAATGCAATTTTGGTGTTGAGTGTATGAACAAGTAAGTTTTTGAAATTTTCGAGGCATATGTAACAAAACTTCAAACAGTAAAACTTGTTTAGTGTGGAATCTCAAGGGACCAGTGTTTTATTCCACATTTGACAATATCCTGGATTATACAAATAAAGTAAGATGTTTTCTATTCACATTGAGCAAGTTTAACTGTTACATAATCTAATTTGCAAGTTTGTAAATTTATTCTTGGAAATTCGTCTTTTGTGAACAGTTACTTGTGAAATTTGCTGTGTCTAAAATAAAATGTATGTGGGAAGTAACTAAAAGCAATTTTATGAGGCTTTGGCTTTCATCTTTTAATGTAAATGGTAATTAAAAATGTACTCCGCAATTGCAGAAGAAATAATAAAGAAAAGTATGTCTTAAAGGATTTATTTCAGTTATGTGCTTTCAGTAGCTTCAAAGACTGCAGTGTATCCTATTCTGTATCACAAAAGACAAATTTTTGTATTAAAATTAATTACATCATGTTGTAAATTTGACACTACAAGTATAACATTATATACCGGAATGCTGCACCCCTAGAAAATATGGAAATTACACTACAGCATCTGAAAAAAATATATAATAAAAAGTTGTATGATACAGAAACAGTATTTAATTCTTTTTCTAAGTTACTTACCCATAATTTCAACAACGTATATAACTCATGAAATAAATTCACATGCACAAAGTTTTTTAAAAAGTTCAAATTTTTAATGTACCTTACTGTGAGTTTGCATCATTCTAATTTTATGTGAGTGAACATAACTCGCCCTAACCCTCTCGCTCATACACACACTGTATTTTTTTTATGTTTTACCTTCTGTAGTAATGTTACAAAGTATAAATCAGTGGTGTAATGTGCAAGCCTTCAACTCAGGTGGGCCCAGGTAAACTGGGGTATATTTTTAGGAAATATTTTTATTATTTAAGGTACTAACATTACTTCTGTTTGCTACACAATTTCATAAAGATAAACGATTTGTGGGCAGGTATGCACTCATTTCGTTACGCTACTGGTATAGAGCATGTACACCAAATTTACTTCAGTAGTTTTAGTTGTTAAACAGCCAAGTCTCGCAAGTGATGACTTAAAGCCAGCAAAGTCCTTGACGCAGTAAACAAACCACAGCAAATACGGCACAATTGGGATATGGGACTTGGAGCAGATAGGCAACAATACATATAGTGCACAACCATAACATTTGTCGAATGAAATCAAATTGAAAATAATTATTTTACAAGGATAAAGAAACATTTCAACCAATCAATGTCTATATGTATGTGATTTAAACAAAGGTAAAAAGGGACAATTAAATGTTAAATAAAACATTATTTATCATTTCCTACTGAAATAACTGATCATTTCTTCAATATGAATCACAATACTTCTTGAAATAAATTTGTCTCCTTTTTTCTTTCAACTTCGAGATTTTCAACCTTAGAACTATCTGATGGCATTTTAAAAAAATGCCTTTCACATTATGGAAGCAGCGGAAGAATTAAAAGTGAAATAATTACAATGAATTATAATTTTCCAAAATAAACCTTTTCTGATATTGTTTATGAGCCTTTCAGTATTTGTCTTTTTTAGCACTGAACTGTAGGTATAGATATAAAGTTTAATTTTTTAATTATTTTTAAGTAGTGCTCTAAACATCAGGAGTATACATTTCCTGAACAGAAGTAACCCATACAGAAGTATGAAAAGAAGTATTACATGTACACAAAAAAAAGGCCTTTTAGTTTTGTATCACTCCAAAATAAAAAATGAAATAGCAACTATGGGAAGAGCTAAAACGATATGAACGTTTCAATACTGAAATCATGAAATGTTTAAAAATGTAGTTATGGATAATGGCATGTATGGCACTCAAAAATAAAAAGCCTAAGAGGCCAAACATTCCATTTTTGAATTTTTTTTACTCTCTTATACCTTAAATTACTATTTTCAGAAAAGCATGTTGACTGTGATAGGAGTAACCAGAATTTTTATTGAGGAGGTGGGAACAAAAAATAAATAAGAATGATTATTGTTAATAAAGTTCAACTGGCATTTAGTAATTAAATACTAAAAAATAAGTTACCATATTTATTCGAACATACAACAATTCCCCCTTATTTTCAAGAGGTCTGAAAAAAATAAAATTAACTAATGTACCTACTATTAAACCAAAATAAAATTGTAATTTGTGTAAGTGATTTAGAAAGTGACTTGACGAGAAAGGTACAATTTCGTATTTCCTGAGCTATCACTTATTATTCCTTAAAATCATTAGTAATGGCGTTTGTCACTAGTATCCAGAGCAGTGACGGCTCGTCCACGTTCGCATGTGCACACCCAAATTAATTCGATGTCATTTCTCTTAAACATCTCTTAACAAGAGGGGAATACAAGTCATCTCAGAGCGTTTCCGAAAACGGAATTTCAAAACACTTCGGAAGCAGCGATTAACAGTTTCCCGCTAGTACCCTTCGTGAAAGCCAGCCGTCGCACACTCGGGAATTACGAACGAGTAGGGCGCGTCGATGGCTACCGGGTGGCTAGAGGGGAAAGAAGAAAGTGGTTTATGGACCGAATCTTTGGGGCTTCCACGGACGGCGTACGCGGGTCGGAGCTGAGCGCGGGCGCGTAGCAGAGCATTGTTTTGAAATGGGGCCTTCGCCACGTGCGCGGGTGAGCGTGTGCTGGCGGCGCGACGCGAAGCTCCACGCGAAGCGGAGGAGGGGGCAGCGCCACGCTAGCAGAAAACAGCTTTAACATGGGAGCCTTCACTGGTGCGGCTGCTGCGGGTTATACTGCTGCGGTCCTTTGTTCGTATCGTCGCCGGAGGGTCGGCGAACATACCTAGAGAACCAGCTTACCGGATTGCGGGCGGCGGTGCGGTCGTGGCTGCGGCCGTGGCGGCGTCGGAAGGGCTCTGCTGCTTGAAGGAAGCGCGGCGCCGTAGGAAGATGCCCTTATTGTTCTGTGGGACCGAAGGAGCATTCGGCCGAGTATGCGATCGCCACTGCTTCTGCGTAGTGGAGATCCCAGTGAGTGCCTTGGCATGTTTTGAAGATACTCTCTGGATACAACATTCAGCTAGCACAAGTTTGTAGAAGAATGTGTGACATTGAAAGAAGGAAGTGTGAGATATCTCTCCACTGAAAAGGGCTCTCATCCTTTCCAATAAAACAGTTCTTTGCTAGCGCGCGAAACGCAAACGCATTGCTGTGCAGTTGCATTAATGAGAATTATGCTAATTTAATATTATTAGGATATTCTCCAATATTTTGAAGTAAATTGCCATTACAAATTCAATTCGAATTAATGAAAACCCAAATGCATTTTGTAAACGTATGGAGTTGGCTCCTTTTTTAATGCGTTTTGAAAAACCGAAGTTAGAGTATTCGTCTTTCCGTCAAGTGTGAAGAAAAAAATTGCCGAAAAGAAACAGATTTGAATTGAATCTGTATTTCGTCACACAGGGTAGACGGCAAATGATCTAGATTGTTTTCAGTATTCGATAACTTGTACTTTTAGCCTAAAATTTGTACAGTGAGCTTATGGAAAGTACACTATAGCGTAGCGAAATTTGCGTGGTCAGACGGAAGAGCAGGCCTCATGGCGTGAGCTTTGCCGCATAAAATAAGGTATCAATTCAATTCAAGAGTGTGAGTGAAAGGTTTTGAGTCAACGTGTACAATATAACTCTTAATACCACCGCAAAAACGGTTCTGGAACGTACTGATTAGATACGCTGCAATCCGACACGAATAATAAATTTTTCGAAGGGGTCCTTGCCGATCAGGCAAGGTCTCAAGAGGTCTAAAAAAATTAACAAAAATACTTACCATTAAGCCAAAATAAAATTGTAATTTGTGTAAGTGATTTGTGAAATGTCTTGTTGATGAGAAAGGTACAATTTCGTATTTTCAGAGCTATCACCATTTTATTATTCCTTAAAATCATTAATCGTGGTTTTTGTCACGAGTATCTTTACATATATTCAGAGACGTATTTAGGTGCCCATGGCAAGCATAGAATTTGCGCTACAATCAGGATACTTCAAATTAGGGTTTAGTTATTCGTCCGCGAATATGATTGGGTAATTATTACAGAAAGCCTGATTTTTATTGCCTTTGCAGCATAAAGTTTCATGAGCTTTTTGGTATGGGAAGGTGGGTGTGTAAATATAAATCCTTACCAACAGGGCTTCATTTGCGAATATAAGCGATCCATATTTTTCGGAAAAGAAGGTGAGCGGGGGAAGGGGATGGAACTCGTCTTATATTCGGATAAAATACAGTAATTTGAAAAATTGATAACATGAACATTTTCTTTCTCTAGCAATCAAAATTATCGGTAATTAGAAATCGATAAAAAAGAAAAGAGATTTCATTTTCTTTAAATTGAAGGAATTATGAATATAAAAAGAATCAAAAACCTATTTCATTTTTATGTTAAATTTTTACAAATCAAATACTACCATAACTGTTTAATATTGGAAACAAGTCCAAGTTTCTGCACATTTTGTGAAAATAATATCTTGAAAATTTAATGTTTATATTCTTCCTTCTTTTCTATCATAGCATTGAGTTCTTATATGATTATATGACCAAGACTTCTTTGCTGTACATATGGCAAAATCTAAGTTGCCAGATTTGTACTGCAATGTAACACTTTCTAAACAATGAAAAAGGTGACTGCATCAGGGAAGAAAATTATGTATACAAATATCCCCTTTTAAAAGAATGGATTGCTTCATCAATCCCCTTTAGTTTCTCTCTATAATATAGATCTACAAGCACACAATGTACTCAAGACAAATAATGGCCGAACAATATCTGAAAGATAACATTTTCACAAAGATTATGGTAAAAAGTTTGGGGTAAAATGTTTGATTATATTTATGGTTTATTATTTTTAATTCTATTTACTTTACCAATTTAACTATGTTTATGATATCTGTACTTACATTCCAAAAAAACATATTTTTTTGTAAGTAGTATTTTCATAAATTTTGTAGCTATTTTTATGGAAAATTTCAGCAAAATTAATTTTCAATTGATTAAATTGAATTTTTAAGATTCAATAAGAAGAAATGTCGAGAAATAGCAGAATATCATTAAACACATGTCCACATTTTACTTTACTTTAAGAGTGTGATTGCTCATTCAAACATTTCATTTTATCATTTATTGTTTATATATATTTGAAAATATTTGTTTGGTAATTTTGTGTCTGTATGCATTAAATATTTTAGCTTAATAAAAAAACTTACATTCAAAATGACGAAGGGGACCTTATTCTAGTAGATCAATACATTAAATATGAGTAATCAGAAGAAGAAAAAACAAACGATAGTAAACATTCTTGCCTAACTCTATTATAAGAAGCTTTACTAATGGCATGAGTTCATTCTTGATTTATTTTCTATTAGATTATAACCGTTTTAAAGGTGATATAAAAAGATTTTTAAGGGACTGGACTGCAGCAAGACTACCGCAAAATATTGGAAATATCGATTTACACAATATCTGCTTAATTACAGTAAAGTTTTTAAAGAAATATTACTCTATATATAACTTAAATTACATTTTCAAATAATAATATGGAAACGCACACATGCTGTAAATCGTCTCCAATCCGCATATTGCAACTACGCTGTGTTACGCTGCTAATTCTTTGGAATCTTTTGCCTAATTTAAATATAGTGACTTATGACATCTTAGTTGAACAGGCTTATCCAATTAAGAGTTTTGTTACCACGTAGTTTTTGGTATTGTAGCCCCTGATTAGAGATAATCTCACCCAGCTAGTGATACGTCATAAGTCACTATAATTATATTGGACAATATACTTTCTCTTTGAAGCGTTCGATTTCGATATTCTTTGTTTTGTTGACAGTTGTTCATACACAGTTCATACATGTCAAAAAGTTTGATTAAATGCCGTGAATGTGAAATATTTGTGAGGCAATACTTAATAATGTTTTTATTTCTGGCAAGATGAAAAGGAAGTTTTTATTCCTGTAGATTTTCGTTGTACTGTCATGCTCTCGTGGAGCGCTGTGAGTTGCGTACTGCATTGTAAGTACGAAGCAAATGTGGATCGCATCTGCATTGTATTGACTGCTACTGGAGAACTCCGAAATAATGTTAATCCTGTTATGAAGAGAGTGATTACTTAGAAAACATCTCTGAAAGTATTACTGTAATTGAAGGAATGATTTTATTGCAATTGACCCTCTGATTATTTACTAAATCTGATGGTATTTATTTTGAATAAGAACAGGAATGGATATGATGGCAGCATTAATGTCAAAGGAACTCTCTCATTCCTTTTTTTACATGCACAGTGCGAGAAAACATAGTGAACATCGTCTACATAAGTGTGAATCTTGTGGAAAAGAATTTGTTAACAGAAGTGACTTGCTAAGGCACATGAAAGTTCATACTGGTGAAAGACCTCATAAATGTGAAACATGTGGTAAATGTTTTAGAAATAATTATGATTTAACAAGGCACACCCGAACACACACAGGTGACTGTCCCCACAAATGTGGAATATGTGGGAAAGGTTATAACAATCAAAGTGATTTACTGAAGCACTTAAAAGTTAAAGGAGGAGAAGAACGACCACATAAATGTGAAATATGTGGAAAAGGTTTTCCCAATCGCAGTAGTCTTATAAGACACTTGAAGCTCCATACTGGAGAACGTACTCACAAATGTGCAGTTTGTGGTAAGGGTTTTTATAACCATAGTGACCTCATGAGACATCTTAAAAATCGTACAGGAGATAGACCACACAAATGTTTGGTGTGTGGTAAAGGGTTCACTAACAAAAGTGGTTTAATTCGTCATTTGCGAATGCACACTGGAGATCGTCCCCATAAGTGTGACATTTGTGGCAAGGACTTTGGTAGTCGCAGTGACCTTACAAGACACACTAGAAAGCATACAGGAGAAAGGCCACATAAATGTGTGGTTTGTACAAAAACATTCATGACTCGCAGTGATTTGATTCGGCATTTGAGAATGCATACAGGAGAAAGACCACATAAATGTGAGGCTTGCGGAAAAGACTTTAGAAATCGAAGCGACTTGAATAGACACTTAAAACTTCACACTGGTGATCGCCCTCACAAGTGTGATTTATGTGACAAATGTTTTATTAATCGAAGTGATTTGAACAGACACTTACGTATGCATGTAAGTGGGCATATGATGCATGTATGACCCCAGATGCTGCCGGGCAGCACTACAGGACTGATAGAGTATGGTGCTCCTTTTTAAAAATTTGTTAGTGAATTTTGTGCCATTTGTTGAGTTTTTCAGACAGATTTTTTTTAAAGAGAGTACTTTAATCACATATGGTAACAATGGCATGCCTTTTTTAAAAGAAGGCTACAATAAATACTTAAGCTCACAGCTTGTGTTAGATGGCTTCTATTTTTAAGATATTGAAAAAGCTTGCAGTGTGTTGTATTGCATGTTATATTGTCTGCATATTAGTCTATATTTGAGAATATTCTTGAAATGCTGTATAAATAGAAATAAACCTCATTTTTTATGTAAAAGTTTCTCAGTTTTCTTACGAGTTTGTGGGCCTTCTTTAATTTAATTGTGCTAACAACTACTGTTTTTCAATTAGAATTTGTAGTTTCGTATTATCTCAAACAATAATCAAAAAGCTATGTGGACAACAATTGATTCTTAATATTGTTTATGATCAGTTTCCATGAAAATGTCAGGGTAGAACAAATTTTAATTTGTCTTTAAAAAGAAAAAAAAAAGTGAAATGTGACAAAAAGTAAGTAGTAAGTTTTGAACATAAGTGTCTCGAGTACTTGTGAAACTAATGATCTTTGTTATACAAGATGCATCATCTTTATTGGTGTGTAAGATGCAACATATTTTGAAGAGTTATTTTTTAAAGTGAATAATTTAATTACTTTATTGATGGAGAAAAATAAGGGATGGGCAAACATGTTTCGTGAATAAGCAGTCGCTTTTCAGTCACTTTCAGATGTTAGTGCACTGTGCTGAAGAAAATAATCAATATTTGTTACCCTTGTTGCTATAAATTGATTCCTTATGGTTCTTTTATAGTGTGTGAGTTTACTTACTCAGATGGCTGATTTACGACCAGCTATTAAACTCTCTCAGAGTATTCTAGTTTGTTGGAATTTTTGCTGCTTGCCCTGCTAGTGTAGGTGCAGTTGAAGATGGGTTACCATACTTCCCACTAGTTTACTGTTGTAAACTAGCAAGTGTGTAATTTTGCTGTGCGAAAGATAGTGTTTGTTAAAATGCCTAAAGAAATATTGTAATGTGTTCCTTTATTTTGAAAGGAATATAAAAAAAGATAGAAAAATAATTTTTGCTTAGAAAATAAATTTGTGATTATCTGTGGATAAATATGATAACCATCAGTATACTTTTTTAAAAGTTATTGATTAAATTATTGTTCCTTCATTTGAAAAAAAAAATCAGTTTGCAGTATTTTTAAATATTTTCTCCAATTGCTGAATAAAATTGTTGAAAGAGTTTTGTTGTGAGTGGTTGATATTTCATGGCAGTGCTGAATTCAACATTATTTATACTGGTGTGTTATTTCGGGTATACAGTGGTAGGTCCAAAATGTATTTTCAGAGCAGGAGCAATTTCAGTTAGGGCTCTCAAATATTTTTGAAGGAAAAATAAAAAACTATCAAAAATTGTGTGCTTGAAAAGAAGTGTATAGTTATAATAACTACTTTTGACGTAATATGAGTTAATTGTTGTGAATAAATTAAGTAAAAAACAAAAAAAAATTGGACTTTGTTAGTGGGGGAGGGGAGACTCTGCCAGTGTGTCCCCCAGGAGAAGTCGGAACTCCACACAGTAATGAGTAATGACTTTTCAGATAAACTGCGAACCCGTGCTAATCTATTTTGACAATCGGAATTCTCTGGAATGTTGCAACAATGAAGAATTTGAAACGAAACAATTAAGACCATTTAGTTTCCACAATAAAATGTAAATATTTATATAAAATATTCGTGAAGTTTCGAAACATTACAAGCTTTTTCTTTCTTTCGAAATATAACTAAAATGATATTGGCTATTTTGTTCCGTTTCGAAACGAAACTGAGTAGAAGTACGTTTTCGAAACTAATTTAGATAGAAAAGTACGTCACGCTTCGAAACGAGAGTCGATCCGTTCCTGAACGTAATGTTATTACTTACTGGACTTCATTTGTTTTTGTTTCATAGTCGAATGTGAAATAATGTCAGCGAAGAAACAATATTGTGTAACTAACATTATTGGCATTCCTGACCCTATGTATTCTATTGGATATCGTGGGAAATGTAGATTTTACAATTTTCATTTGTTACGTCGATTACATTACAATTGTACCCGCTGTATCAGGGATCCAATGCATCGATAAGTAGTGAAAACAAAATAAATGTGCGACGCGTGTTTCCCTCCAAAGCCCGGTGCGGCGAGGCGAGTCGAGTCGGGGGGGCCATGGAGGGGCACGCTGCGGAGGGCCACGGGGCCGCCCTGGACGCCGCTGCGTCCGCCGCCGTCTCCGACAGGGCGTTCGGCGAGTGGAAGCGCGACCCGCGCTCCGTGCACACCGCCTGGGACCTGTTCTTCCGCAAGGTCACGGCCTCGCTCTGGGGACCCCCCGCCAATGCCGATCAGGTAAGGAAGGGCCCAGCCCGGACGGGGCGCATGACGTTATACGCCGGGATTTTCAAGTGTGTGTGTGTGTGGGGGGGGGGGGTCAGAAAATTTTTGGGCATCTTTCGACTTGAGCAAGAACAAATAAGGTGGGCTATATATTTATAAACGTCTATATTAATGAAATAGGTGACAAGACATTTGCAGTACACGCAGATGCACAAGGGAGTTATATTTACAGTGTAGGTAAAAATGATAAGAAAGATAATATTTGCCTAATTTATAGTGTATTATTTTTAGATACAAAAAATGAGTACATTATTAGGCCCACATTAAAAGATTTTAAGGAGCTGTAAATTGACACAGACGTGGTTTCAACACTTCTTTGAACTTACATTTTCAAGTTTTTCGTATTTTTTAAGAATCTGACTTTACATCAAGGGGCGTGGTAGTTAATTGAGGTGAGGTACCTCGGGGTTGACTGAGTAAAACGCTGACTCGGACTATTTGATTCAGAGGTCCCCAAAATGGTTGGTATTGACCCCCAGAGGTACGAGGATGGTGGAATCGAGAGCAGAGTACCCACCGAAAACTGTTCAGTAAAAGCAAACATCATCCCATTGATTACAACAGTCTTATTGTTTTCTGATATTTGTTTCTATTATGTTTTATCCAATAATAATTTGCAATTTTGCTCTTTTTGGAATGTCACATTATTCACGTGATGGAAAATAGGTCTGTTAAATTAGAATTGCGTTTTTGTCTCTGAAAACTCGTTTATATTTATAGAATTAAAAAAACAATAAAAAATAATAAAACAAAACTAATCATTTTCATGAACCACTTCCAAGAGTAGTTTGCTTCATCAACCCCTTGAAATTTTGTTTCTCTAGTAAACAGTACACAACATGTACATAACATAATTAGTACATAACTACATTACATAACATAAACTAGTTTATATTCTTCGTGTAATTATGTTATGTATATGTTGTGTACTGTTTACTAGAGAAACAAAATTTCAGGGGGTTGATGAAGCAAACCACTCTTGAAAGTGGTTCATGAAAGAAAAGGGTTGGGAATTCCTAATGCGATCCCACATTATGTGCCAATTACCACTGGCGGCTGATACCTTTAATTAATGGATGGTTGGATGCAAAAATAAAAAAATAATTGATCCATGTTCAGTCCCGATGTAGGTCTATCGTGAGCATTTATATCGCACTTCTTGAAGAGTTAAGTTTCTGAATTTCTCAGTTTTTAAATATTGAATGGAAATACTTTTTGTGTCCATTGTAAACACTGACTAGTGGTGCTAAACCAGCATATACTTTCACGCAAAATTACGCAAAAAGTACTCAAATATTCGTAAATTTGTACGTGATCTTATTTCAAAATCTATCTTTAAAGAACAGATTCGGTAAAGAAAAAGAACCTATCAATATTTTAGTTTTAGAAAGACTCAGAAAAAAAATTCTAACTTTTGTTATTTTCGAAAAATCATGTTTTTTTAACGAAAATGAGACTAGCACCGTTCTCTTAAACACCCTTCGCACTATCCAATAATTCAATAATAACCCCAAAAAGAAAGAAAGTGGAATAAAAATAAACTGTATATGACATTATGAATAAAATGAATATGCCATTGGGAATTGAGCTTCAATCACTCGGGACAATTATGTTCTTCGTGTTCTTCGTTCTGACGTCGAGTAGACATAATCCAAATGAGTAACTTTGCAAGAGGTTTTTAATGTTTAATCAGTGTCAATGTGACTACAACTTTTCTCGACGTATAAAACACTAAAATATAAGAATTAGCACCTAAATCGTGCCGTGTTCGCTGCCTAAGCGAGATTTTTTTTTTTTAATGGTCCGCATGAAACTAGGTCATTACAGCCACTATTTGCTTGTAACGGTATGGTAACGTGGTGACAATAATGAATGTGATGATAGGGGTGAAAGGACGAAATACAATACAACCATGCCAGCGGGACTCGAACCGCATCCTTCGCGTCCGACTCCTACGGCACTACTGCCTTAGCGATCTTCGGCCACCGGATCGCCGAAGATTGTTG